AAAAAAAAAAAAAAAGAAGAGGTAAACATGATGTTTAATAAAGGTTGTTTCATAAGCAGGGAAGTAAAATCATTACCAACTGGATTTTCAAAGATAATAGTGAAAGTAAAAATATGTTGATGCCTAAAAGGATATGTATCAGTTATTTGGGAAATTCATGTAAGTATGACATCTTATTTCCCAAAGATGCTATTTCATTGTGGACTGACTATAGAAATTATTGGTTTGATACTTAATCCTTTTACTGAAAGCATCAGTTTGGTGATTTTGCTTCAGCTCATCACTTGTAGTGTTTTCTAATTTTAACAGGAACGTATCAATGAGTGTGATGAGAAATGTCTTTCAGTTCTGTCAGCTCTTTTAGGGGCAATGGAGCCATGTAAGAATGTGGATGTTCTTCAAGCAGGATTAAGGTGAGAACTCTCTTATGCCTTTTTATTTTTTTTGAGACAGAGTCTCACTATTTCTCCCTCAGTAGAGTGTTGTAGTGTCACAGCTCACAGCAACCTCAAACTCTTGGGCTTAAGTGATTCTCTTGCCTTGGCCTCCCAAGTAGCTGGGACTACAGGCGCCCACCACAATGCCCAGCTATTTTGTTGTTGTTGATGTAGTTGTCATTGTTGTTTAGCAGGCCCAGGCTGAGTTTGAACTCCCCAGCCCCGGTGTATGGGGCTGACACCCTAACCACTGAGATATGGGTACCGAATCTCTCTTATGCCTTCTTCATGTGGTTTTCTTTGTTTCTCGTGTATCTGAATTCAAACAAATGAGATGGAAAATGAACTGCTGGTTTTTTTGTTTTTTTTTTTTTTGAGTGGTGGGTCAAGGGGCTTTGTATGTAGTTATAGCCTTTAATCCCTTATTAAAGTTAAAATCCTGACTCTGGGTGAGATAAAGCTGGAAATAATACTTCTTTGGGGGTCTACCATGAAAAATATGAGTAACACTGGAATTGAAATTAATTTATCTTAAAACATAATACTGATATGAGCTGAGGGAGAACTGTGTATTTAATTCAGAATAGTTATTTGAACACTCTGTGGGGACAATATGACACTTGTCCACCTTGAAAAGGAATCTATAAAATTGATGCATCTGATGTAATATCATAGATCAGTGAGAATAATGCTCAATTCTCTTTTTCATTGAGTATGCATAGGTTATTTTCCTGTAATCTCCTGATGTGATTTGTTCATTAATAAAGGCAGCACAGTAACATGGAGAGGAAAGACCTAGACTGGGTCTGGGTCTTTCACTGACTACTTACGTTCTTTTAAGCAGATCATTTCTGCTGAAGTTTATTTCTTTGGGATTCATAGTTTTGGCCTATATGAAGTAGGAGTTGGACCAATTGATTTTTTTTTTTTAAGATTTCTCTTCTAGTTTGAAAACTCTAGGATTATAATATTTGTTGTGTTTGATGTTTGATGACAGAATATTAGTTGATCAGCAAGTCTGGAAAATAAAACGTGTCTTCACTTTACAAGCTGTGATGAAATGTATTGGAAAAGATGCACCAATAGCTCTTAAAAGGAAACTCGAGGTAAACCTGGATTTTCTCTTACAGATAATTTTTGAAAAAATTGTTTATTGTAATCCACTATCAATTCCTGAAGTTAATATTTTAGGGGGACATTGCTGTACCATTTAGCTTAGTTTTGCTAAAGTGGATTAATAGAAGTAGACATTTATTGGTATGTAGGTGGTTAAATATATTTAACTTTTTCTTAAACTTCATCTTTTTTACTTAAAAATAAAAGTTTAATCATTACTATTATTTTTTTTGGCCACAAACAGTAAATCTAAGTTTGCTTTTCTTTAGATGAAAGCCTTGAGTGAATTAGACCGATTTTCTGTTTTGAATAGCCAGCGCATGTTTGAGGCACTAGCCGCCATGAATCACCGTTCTGTTACACTCTTGAATGAATGCAGTAAGACGGTCATTGGTAAGGACAGTTTTCTTTCATGCTTTGTAGCATCTGACATACCAGTTGGGACTATAGTTCTTTCATTTGTTTTAAAAACCTTGTTCTTCTATGAAAATAAGTATCAAGCAACTTGAATCTTACATTTAAAACCCTCTGGTAATTTTTGTTTGTTTAATTCATTCTTAAAGATAATATCCATGGATGTCCTCTTAAAGTAATGCTGAACATACTGCAGTCCTGCAGAGATCTCCGATATCATAATTCTTATCTCTTTGAGGGAATAGCAGACTATGTGGCTGCAACTTATGACATCTGGAAGTTGAAACATGTGAGTATGTTAGAGTAAGCCTCAGAAACTTTCAAAAAGCATACTAATTCATTTGGCATTTTAAATACTTGTTTTTTACCCTCATAGCAGCTAATATACTAAAATATTCTGACACTAAATTGATATTTTAATAATTAGCTTCTTATTATTTCTGTCTGGGGTTTACTTGTGAATATAGGTACCTGACTTAGGACGATTTGACTTATGAGGTAGTGACTTTATGATGGTGTGAAAGCAATACACATTCTGTGGAAATCAGGCTTTGAATTTTGATCTTTTCCCAGGCTAGAGATAGGAGGTACAATACACTTTTGTAATGCTGGGTTGTGGCAGTGAGCTTCAATTCCCACTCGGTTACATGATCAGGAGGGTTAACAGCTGATACTGACGTGTCACAGGCTTTGTGTTAGATGATTTTGCCCAACTGTAAGCTGATGTGAGTGTTCTGAGCATGTTTAACTATAAGCTAATGTGGGTGTTCTGAGAATGTTTAAAGTAGGCTTGGCTAAGTTATGATGTCCAGCAGGTTAGGTGTAATAAATTATTTTTGATTTATGATGTATTTTCAATTAACGATGTGTTTGTTAGGACTTAACCTCATTGTAAGTTCAGGAGCATCTGTATACTGTTCAATCTTTTAATCATCTTTCCATCTGAAACAAAAATTATGTTGTCCAAAGTTTGCTCTATTATTTGGTTTTCTTTTTTTTTTTTTTTTGAGACAGAGCCTCAAGCTGTCCCCTGGCATCACAGCTCACAACAACCTCTAACTCCTGGGCTCAAGCGAGTCTCCTGCCTCAGCCTCCCAAGTAGCTGGGACCACAGGAGCCCGCCACAATGCCCGGCTATTTTTTGGTTGCAGCTGTCATTGTTGTTTGGCGGGTGTGGGCTGGGGATTCGAACCCGCCACCTTAAGTGTACGTGGCTGGCGCCTTAGCCGGTTGAGCTATAGGCGCTGAGCCTATTATTTGGTTTTCAAAAGGTTGTGTGGTGCTTTGGTTAGATATTTAGCATCATTTTGGTGTTTACACTTCTTCTCATTAGATTTTAAATAATAAAAGTGGGTGATATGATATAGTTATGGTTTATGAAGAATAAAATGTCTTTACTTAATGATTAATGTCCATTATTTCCTTCAGAATAGAAGCCATTAAATTCAGGGTTTCTTTGCCAGTCACTGTGGCTTATGCCTGTAATCCTAGCACTCTGGGAGGTCAAGATGGGAGGATCACCTGAGCTTAGAATTCTGTTCAAGACCAGCCTGAGCAAGAGCGAGACCCCATCTCTAGCTGGGTGTTGTGGTAGGCACCTGTAGTCTCAGCTACTCAGGAGGCTGAGGCAAGAGTGTCCCTTGAGCCCAAATGTTTGAGGTTGCTGTGAGCTATGATGTAACAGCACTCTACAGAGGGTGACAAAGTGAGACTGTGTCTCAAAAAAAAAATTCATGGTCTCTGTTAATACTACTTATAAACACTTAAAAAATGAAGTAGCTAGTATAAATTACTTTTTGCAGTGAGTCAGTGGTAACTATGTTAGATCACTAGGTTCAGTTTACTTTGAAGAGTAAGAAGAATATTTAGCTTACTTTGGGAATTGATTATGGAAAGAAAATAATCATAAGTGAGAAAGACTGAGAGGGAAATTGGAGGTGAACAGTGCAGTTTAATCATGATATAAGAGCTCCATTCTCACTTGCAGGAATTAATATTAAATATGGAAATTTTTGAGTTATCTTTTATGTGTTAGAATCTAGGAAATATCTTGGCTTGGGCATAGGAGTTCAAGATTGAGTTGGACATTTTGAATAACTTGAGAAAAGGTATGTTTACAACTAGTTTTCAGATTTGTTGTACAAAAAGTACATAAGAAAGGATTTATTTTTAAATGCAATGGAAATATGGAAACCAGTTTATGCTGGGGTTCTCAGCTTATAAAAAGAGATTGCTTATTAATTAACTTGACACCTAATTCAGTGTGTGTCATTGGGAGGGGAAGATCACTATTCTTTTTAAGGATATATTCTGTTGATCAGGACAATTGTATGGCTGTTTACATTGAGATCTAATAAACTACTGTTGATTAGCATACTGTATTTATTAAAGAGGTTCCCCTCAATTCTTCCTCTTTTTAAGGTTATTTTTCTCCTTCTGTTATTTGAAGACCTTGGTTTTCGACCTGTTGGTTTGATGGACTTGTTAATGAAGAAGATAGAAGAGGAACCTGACTCCCTGGACCTGAAAAACATCATCTCCATTCTTCATGTGTATTCTTCTCTCAACCATGTCTGCACATACCAGAACAAAGAGTATGTACTGGTTTGTTATTTTGTTTTTTTATTGTTACAAAACATATTTGTACAAAAGATTACAAATCACAAATCTAATGAATTATCACAAGGGAGCACATCCACAGCCATCATCCATGGCAATAAAGAAAGCGTTCCTCACTCATTTATAAAGTTAAACAGCATTTCATTTTATATTTGTTGCTCTTTGTCTTGCTTGTTTCTTTGTTCATTATATTGGTTAATTCATCATAGGAGTTTTCATTTAAAACTCTCACAGGTATCCCACCTTTCCCTAAGTTTATGGTTTGGTTTTCTTTCTTTCTTTCTTTTTTTGTAGCGACAGAGTCTCACTTTATACCTCAGTAGAGTGCTGTGGTGTCACACAGCTCACAGCAACCTCCAACTCCTGGGCTTAGGCGATTCTCTTGCCTCAGCTTCTTGAGCAGCTGGGGACCACAGATGCCCGCCACAATGCCCGGCTATTTTTTGTTGCAGTTTGGCCAGGGCCGGGTTTGAACCCGCCACCCTCAGTATATGGGGCTGACGCCCTACTCACTGAGCCACAGGCACCACCGGGTTTGGTTTTCTTTAACTTCACTGAAAAATTGAGAAATGTATCTTGAACAATAATATTTTATTGTGGTAAGAATTCTTAATAAATTTTTAAGTGTGCAGCATAATGCATTTAACTATGATATTTTAACTATAGACACGGTATTGTACAATGGATCTCTGGAACTTATCTCACAGAACTGGAACTTTATTTTTTTTTTTAATTTTTATTTTTTTTATTATATAATAAGCACATAGATCATGTATATATTAATGCATTTATGGGGTACAATGTGCTGAGTTCATATAGAATTAGGAATGCTTACATCACACTGGTTAATATATACCTTGTCTCATTTACTTAATTATTGTGTTAAGCCATTTATACTCTATGCTAACAGATCCGACATGTACCCTTGCATTATGCACCATAGGTGTGATCCCACTGTTCACCCTCCCTTCATCTTACCTCCCTCTTCCTCTCCCCTCCCAACCCTTACTCTTCACTCTTTCAACTTGGGCCATAGTTGTGATCTATTCTTCATATGAAAATGTGAGTGATTGTAAATTGGTTTCGTAGTAGTAGTACTGAGTACATTGAATATTTTTTCTTCCATTCTTGAGATACTTTACTAAGCAGGGTATGTTCCAGCTCCAGTCTCCATCTTTTGTAAGGCTGCATAATATTCCATGGTATACATATACCACAATTTATTAATCCATTCATGAGTTGATGGGCAGTTGGGCTTCTTCCATGACTTGGCTATTATGAATTGAGTTGCAGTGAACAATCTGGTGCAAATATTTTTGTTTTAAAGTGATTTTTGGTCTTTTGGATCTATACCTAGTAGAGGAATTGTAGCGTCAAACAGCAGGTCTACTTTAGATCCCTGAGTATTCTCCATACTTCTTTCTAAGAACTGGAACTTTATACCTGTTTAGCAGGACTCCCTGTTTTCCCCTCCCCTGACCTCTAACAACCAACATTATGCTTTCTGTTTATATAACCTTGACTTTTTAGGTACCTCATGCAATATCTGTCCTTCTTAGCACAGTGGACAGATCACTATTCTTATTTTGCTTAGCATAGTGTTCTCAAAGTTCATCCGTGGTGTAGCACATGGCAGGATTTCCTTGGAAAGGCTGAGTAATATTTCATTGTATGTGTACGTCATATTTTCTTTACTCATCTGTTGGTGGACATTTAGGTTGTTTATTTATCTTGTTATAAATAGTACTGCAGTGACTATGGAAGTGCAAATATCTCTTCAAGCTCCTGATTTCAATTCTAATTTCAATTTATAGGAATTGAAATATATCCAGAAGTGGGATTGCTAAGTCACATGATAGTTCTACTTTCAAATTTTTTGAGGAACCTTCATACTGTTTTCCATGCACCATTTTGTACTCCATCAGTAGTATACAAGGATTCCAGGTTCTCATATTCTCTCTAGCACTTGTTAGCTTTTCTTTATTTAATAATCATCATTCTAATAGGTGTGAAGTGATATCTCATTGTCATGTTGATTTGTATTTCCCAATAATTACTGATATTGAATGTATTTTCACATGTTTGGGGGCCATTTATACAAGGGTGGACAATTAAGTTCATGAACTCATCCTAGAAAAAGTGCCTCATTGCTGAATATCACTACAGTCACCTTTGAAGTGCTCCCCCCGGGAAGCTGGGCACCAACGCTGCACCTAGACCACCCTTTCAAAGCAGTTTAGGAATTCTTTCTGGAATGGATATCAGAGCTGTCATCATACAAAGTCTGACAATTAAGTTCACAAACTCATCCTAGAAAATGTGCTACATACCTCAGTGCGGAGTATCACTACAGTTGCCAGATGGCTAAGGGAAGTACTTTGAAGGTGACCACAGTGATATTCAGCAGCGGGGTATCTAGCACTTTTTCTAGGATAAGTTTGTGAACTTGTTTGACCTCTTATGTCTTCTTTGGAGATAGGTCTATTTGTACGTCCTTTGCCCATTTTTTAATCACATTATTTATTTTTTTGCTATTGAGTTATAGGAGTTTCTCATGTATGTATTTTGGAGATTAGCCCTTTTTCCGATATACAGTTTGCAATAATTTTTCTCCCTATTTTGTGGGTTGCCTTTTCACTTTGTTGGTTTGTTTCCTTGGTGTACAGTAGCTTTTTAGTTTTATGTAGTTCCCCTTGTCTGTTTTTGCTTTTGTTACTTGTACTTTTGGTGTTACTCCAAAAAAATCACTGCCTAGGCCAATGTCATAAGCCTTTTCCTCTATGTTTTTTTCCAGAAGTTTTATAGTTTCAAGGCTTATATTTAAATCTTTAATCCATTTTGAGTTAATTTTTGTGTATAGTGTAAGATAATGTTCCAGTTTCATTCTTTGGCATATAGCTATCCAGTTTTCCAAACCCCCTTTGTTGAAGAGAACATTCTTTCCCCATTGTGTATTTATTGTATTTTGAAATCAGGAGGTATGATGCCTCTAGCTTTGCTCCTTTTTCTCATTGCTTTGTTCTTTTTCATTGCCTTGGCGTTTCTAGATCCTTTGTGCTTCCATATGAATTTTAAGATTTTTTTTCTATTTGCATATAAAATTCCATTCAGATTTGAATAGGGATTGCTCTGACTTTGTAGATAACTGTATGTTTTTCCATTTATTTGTATCTTCTTCAATTACTTTAATCAATTTTTTTTAGTTTTCAGTATTGAAGTCTTTATCTCTTTAATTAAGTTTGTTCCTAAATATTTTATACTTTTGGGGGCTATTGTAAACAGGAGTGTTGGATAGTTTGTTGTAAGTGAATAGGAACACAACAGATAATTTTACTTCTTCCTTTTGGATGTGGATGCCTTTTCTTTCTTTCTCTGTTTTATTTTTTGCTTAATTGCACTGGCTAGAATTTCTACTACTGTGTTGAATAGAAGTGGTGAGAGTAGGCATACTTATCTTACTCCTGGTCTTAGAGGAAAAGATATCAGTTTTTTATCATTGAATATGATGTTAGTTATAGCTTTTCATGTGTGGCCTTTATTATGGCGAGGTACATTCCCTCCATACCTACTTTGTTGAAAGCCTTTTATCTTGAAAGTATTTTGAAGTTTGTCAGGTGGTCTTTCTGCATCTATTGAGATGATCATGTGGTTTCTATTTTTTATTTTGTTAATGGGGTATGTCACATTAATTGGTCAATTAATGTGATAGATAGATCATATATGCTAAGCCACCCTTTTCTTTCAGGGGTAAATTCCACGTGCTCATTGTGAATAACCCTTTTAATTATCTATTTTGGTTTACTAGTATTTTATTGAGGATTTTTGCATCCGTGTTCATCAGGGATGTTGACCTGTGATTTTCTTTTCTTGTAGTGCCTTTGTCTGGCTTTGGTGTCAGGGTTATGCCATACACATAAAATGAGATTGGAAGTATTCCTTTTTCTTCAAGTGTTTAGAAAAGTATAAGAAGTGTTGCTAATTATTTCCTGAGTGTTTGCTGGAATTCACCAGTGAAGTCATTTGTTCCTGGCTTTTTTCATTTTGGGGAAGTTTTTGACTACTGATTAAATTCCTTATTTATTGGTGGTTTATTTAGATTTTCTGTTTTTTTTTTTTTTTTAAGATTTTTCTATTTCTTCATGATTCAGTCTTGGTAGGTTGTGTGTTTCTAGGGATTTATCCAGCTCTTGGTTACCTAATTCGTTGGCATGTAATTATTATAGCCCAACCAGGTTCATTTACCCCTTGCTTAAGAGGAGGCTAATACATTGAAACAGCAGGAGTTACAGCAGAGAGACAAAGTAATATTGCAAGTTGACCTGCCAGGAGTTGGGAGGAATTTCTCAAATCTGTCTCCTCCCAGGAGTTTAGGGGCCAGGATTTTTAAAGATATTTTGGTGGGCAAAGGGCTAGGGAATTGGTCTGCTGATTGACTAGGGGTGAACTCATAGAGTTGGGAAGCAGGAATTGGCTTCCTGTGCTGAGTTGGTTCCCAGGTTGCAAGACCAGTCAAGTTAAACCCCTTGCTATGGGCCATTGTCAGATTGGGTCTGTTGGTCCATTCAAATGAGTCTAGAACAGCGGTTCTCAACCTGTGGGTCGCAACCCACAGGAACTGTATTAAAGGGTCACGGCATTAGGAAGGTTGAGAACCACTGGTCTAGAAGAAGGCCAGCTTTTGGTTTCATAAGGTTGATACTATATGAGGGCAATGAAAAAAGGTAAGGATCTTTATAACCACTGGGAATGTGACTTGTGAGTAGAAAGCCATTATAGGAGAGCAAGCTAGGGAACAATGGCAGCTTTTATGCACAGAGGGTGCCAAAAAAATGTATACACATTTTAAGAAAGGAAAAAAACTATTAAATTTGTAATATTCAAGTCATGTTTGACTTCTGCAATTGCAAGAGGTGCTCAACGTGACTTGCATTCATCTTTTGTTATCGGTATATATTGAGTATTACAGTTTTAATAT